TGCGATCGACTCGCGATAAACTCGTAGAAGCAGCTTCGTGGGCAACGTGGGAACAAGGAGAATTGCAGTATGCGCTCGCCCTGCAGGGTATGCTCGAGCGGCTCCTCGCATACAGAGCACTCGCTGCCGACGAACGTGCGCTCACGGCGGTTGCCTCGTCGGTCTGTGTTGGTCGCCATGGTCGTGGGAGCTGCGCACAGTCTTGGAGTTGCTATCCGTTGATCTCGCTGAGCCGGAGGAAGCTGTGTGGCGATGACCTCTGTGTCCTCGTACGGTACCGGCCGCAATGGAGTGTCCTAAAGAGTGAGCAAGGTCAGCTCCGCTGTGATCTCTTCCTTGTGCCCGACGTGGAAGCGGGCAGAGGAAACCTAGCACAGATTGCCCTGTGGGTTGACTCACCCTTTTCGGGAAAAGTTGGTACGTCGCTGTCGTAGGGGTTCACACCGCCGGCGGAATATTTGGATCGCTGGGGATCCCGCACCGATTTGGGGCTGACTAGGCCAAGCTCGAGCAGGGTAGACTGCGTACCCCTCGTGTGGTCGTCGTAGGTAGAAGCACCGGCACTGTGACCTTTGGGTGTCTTGTGCCGGCTGAACATGTGGACCGCGAGCTGTTCTGCCGTCTTTGGGACTGGAAACTGGAGGGGGGGTCGCCTGCAGCGCCAAGACGGGATGCTCGTTGCTGAATGTCCTGCTCCGTCGATGCAGGAAAAGGGGAGTTCGCGATTCTCACAGGCTGCCGGAAACCCAATGGGAAAAAAAGTTCCGAGAAACAATGGCGCTTGAGGCAACTCGCAAGCAGGGCGGTGGAGAAAAAGCAACGTTTGAAGAATGCGGCCGAAAGGGTCGTGGGGTGGTTCGAGAGCGGGGTGTGACACGGGCTGCTGAGGAAGGCTGGGAAGATGTTTCAAATGGTCGTATCAAAAGTGCTGCTGGAGTAGGAAGATCGGGACAGCGCTGCGCATGGTTGCAGTAGGCGGGTGGTATGAATCAGTGGTAGTAGAGGGGACAGTGAGTCGCGCGTCGTCGGAGGGTCAATGGCTCACGTCGGGCGGGCCCTTGGTGAGCGGGTGGTGATTTGTGTGCGAAGAGACAATGTCTTGCGTGGTGAAGCTAGACGCTGGCAGGGATGCAAAGGTCCTGCAGTCGCTCCTCTCTCTTTTTCCTTCTTCTTCCTTTCCTTTCGCCTGGGAAGAGGCAAGGGTTGACGGCGCCGGAAGAGCAGCGATTTGCGTTCGAATGGACCCAGTCCGTACCTGTCCAAGGTGCCGTTGCAGAAGAAAAATGCGCAGGCGTGGAATGCTCCAAGGCGTGGTGTCGCGGGCCCTCCCTGAAAGCAGTGGGTGGTGCGTGTCGCAGGCGATCTGATCCGAGACCTCGGGACGGTCTCTGGTGCCGGCCACCAAGGTGGGAGCACAAGCGCAAGCGAGGTATCGGCAGACCAAGCTTCTTGGAGCTCGCTTCGTGAGAACAAAGGATCGAGACGTGTGCGGTGGAGGCCAAGGCAGAGCAGAGGTTTGAAAGGGGTCCACGCAGACGTCGTCGAAAATGTAGGTCCCGAGGGAAGGTTATAGAGCGGATGGAAAGGGGAGAGGCGAGAGATGCAACGGTAGCAGCAGTTCGGGCGAGTCTGGGCAAGGTAGGGTGATGTAAGGTCAGGCAGGGCAGGTCCTGGGGCAGCAGGGTGACGGAGGACAGGGACGGGGACGGGGACGGGGGCGGGAGGGAAGGGGATTTTTCTGGACGAGGCAGACGAGGCAGATGAGGATCAGGTCCGGCGTCGAAGTACCTGCAGCGGAGCGCACCTTCCAGTGACAGAGGGGCAAGGCAGGACGAGACAGGGAGGGTAAATTCTGTAGCAACGAGCAACGGGCAATGGAGTTGGGATGGATGGGATGGGCAGATGCATAGGCAGATGCAGAGGCAGGGTTACCAGCCAGGCAGGAGGGTACCTGACCTGGCGCAGGTCTTTCCTGCCTCATCTGCGTGTGCTGTACTCGTACTTCACAGTGTGCTGCGACCTGGGTAGGTCAGTCACTCACTCCTCCCCAGGACCGTCCGGTGGCTAGGCCACCAGTTCTGCTCCACTTCCTTTCCACTGCCTTTTGCCTGTCTCCATGCATATCGACCCCGCCCCTAAGGACCAGGGGGGTGGGAGGCCAGCAACACAGGGCAAGCTAGCAGACCAGGTTCTTTAGCCCCGTAGCTTCATATGCCCAGGGCTTGGACCCGGCATGCTCCCTGCTGCGCCGCCAAGGCTTGTGGGCGGACACTCCCTGCACCTGGCACTGCACCGAACCCACGGACCACCGACCCGGCCCCGGCCCCGGGCTTCCTCCCCCCCCCCTCTCTAGCACTTTTCGTCCGCCCCTGGTCGGCCAGGTCTCTGGACGCTGGAAGACAGTCGATGGACGATGGACGATGGACGCTGGACAATAGTCAGTGGATAGTGGACGATGGGAATGGTAAGCTGGGAAAGCTCGGATGGCACGCCAGAGGCCGTGGTACCCAGGTACTCCTTTCTCCCACTCCTTGCCTCCTGCCCTCCTTTCTCACACGCTCTCTTCGTCCCCTCCCCACCCCATTCATCCCTTTGTCCTCGTCCCAGCAGCAACAGTCATGGAAGCCACAGCCTCCGTACCCTCCATCTTTCGCTGCTGTCTCACATCTCCCCCTCCTTCTAGGCCGCAACAAGCGCAGGCTCTCTGGCACTTTTTTCTTCTAGCGCCTTAACCCCCCCCCCCCCCGAATTGGTGTAGTGGGCTGCGTCGCGTGTCTGGTGGGTGGTCGAGGTACTTGCTCAGCCCTCGCCATGCCACACCGTGTTCCTGTACAGGTACCTCACCCGCAGCCATGACACGAGCCGCCTCAGTTGCCTCTTCCAGTCCCAACCGGCTCAATCCAGTTCTTCTAGAAACAACGCAAAACGCCCCAATCGGGCAGCGCACGAGGGACCTCATGCTCCGCACGGGACTTTCAAAAGTCGTGACTGTCAGCTCACTCTCTGGGGCCCGCGTGCCCCTAATGTAGGTAGGGACCCCAACAGCCGACACCAGCTTCAGTTCACTTGGTTGGCACCCTTCGACAGCCTCCCCTCCTTCTCCTGACCCCGGCTTATGTTTCTTTGATGTGCCGAACCTTCAATTGTGCCCTCCACTTCGCTTACTCGTGTGTTTCCAAGTAACACCGAGTGTGTTGCGCATGGGGGACAGCAGGCACACCCTGAAATAGCCTCCCGCAGGTCATGAAGCCCGCGAAGGGACAACCACTGGGAAGGCTTATTTGCGCAAGGTCGTCTCTGCATCGCGTGCAAAGTAAGAAGAGGACCACCGACTGACGTGCAGTGCATGTGCATAGGCTCCCACAGTGACTAGGTGCTCTCTGCAATCGCCCTTTTTCCCACATGCCCACTCGCGCTGGAGACCGCCTCGGAGCACTGGACAAAACTGGCAGATCGTCACCAGCCCGCAGCCCAGTCAACGGTAGTAGGAAGACCCTCGCCGGAACGATTTCACACCAGCGACAAATGTGAACACACAAAAAAGTGGGTTCGCCTTTGTTCCGTCGTCACCTGTGCCATCATCTTTCTCCATTCGGTCGCCTACTTTAGCTCAGGGTTTCGTCTTCTCCAACTTTGATGTTCTTGAACAACCACGCTTTCGGATTGCTCGCTGTCCATGGTCTCCGGCTGCTACCAAATTGCCGGGTTGTGTCAGCGCTGAATCTTTGCGGCAGGGTCCCCGGTCCCGATATTGAATGGTTCTGAGGCACTCGTCAGATCAATCGGGAGTGAAAGTGGACTGCGCCTCAGCCTCCGCGAACCTTTTTTTGATTTATTTTCCCCCTCTTGCCTGGTCTCGCTGTGCGGTCGTGTCTGCGGATCCGGCGAAAGACATCCAAGGTGGCAGAATGGCACTTGATGCGCCTTCAGGGGTGCCGCGCCTGGCGGCCTGGGGGCTCATTCCGTTCTTCCTAGCTCCATTCGCCCCCGGCCCCTGTGACGCCAGCCTACCATCCCCTGTTCACCATCCCCGACCACAGGCGGGCCTGTCCGTCCCTCAGTACTTGTTTCGCCCTTTGACTGGCCCGCCTCGAGCCCGCTCGTTCGGGGTGGCCTGTAGCGCTCGGGCTCTCGCGGAACTCTTGGTTGTAAGGAACAGTTACTTGGGACCGACTGATGGGAGCATGCGTCAAGGCATCACCAACCTCTTAGCAAACCCACGTATAGTTCATCACCACTAACTGACCACCTTTTGGGTCCTAGTGCCGCAGACCTCTCGCCTTTGGCGTCAGGCCAACTGCGCTGCATAGAACCCTGCCAGCGAGAAAGAAGTACGGCGGCGGTTCGGGCGTCAATTCAGGAACGGGACGGAAGCCATGGTCCTACATTCGAGCTGTCCACCCTCATCTGCTGTTGTGCTCTCTATCCCTTTCTCTTTCTCTTTCTCTCTCTCTCATGAGATCTCACTAGCAAAAGAAGCAATAATGGCCTCCTCTATCGGCAATGCCACTCCAGCCCAAAACCCTCGTGTGAGGCCGAGTCAGTGGTGAAGCGAGGGGCAGCCGGGAGGCCCTCGAATCAGGAGGTCGACCCATGGTTGTCCGGAAATGGTCGTCGCCCTTCTCCGCCTGGAAAAGCCCGCGTTGAGTTGTGGAAGAGCAACATGCAAGGAAACGGATCCAGCTTTTGGCTGCAGGAGCGTACAGAGCCTACCTGCATCTGCCTGACTTTGCAAGGATTGACGGAATACAGGGCGAGGCGGCCATGGCCGATACCCCGGGAAGTAGAGAGGTACAGAGAAACCGATCTAGGCGAGATTAGGGGTTCGTGGGATGCGTTTTGTCTGGCAAGTAACGGTCGCCCCCACGACATCTTTGAATTCGCGCTTGTTGTGCATATGCCATCGCAAGCAAGGGTGGCT